AGTGCAGTGCCCTCATTTGTAAAGTAAGGAACATGACATCCACCTGACAACCTGACAACCATGAGGTTAGATGATATGGCAAATGTGCAAGTGCTTAATAAATCACAAAGCATCATATAAACAGAAACTATTATCAATCATTTTAGAAGCTTTAATGAAAGAAATATGAATTTTTGTAACTTAGGGCTTTTTAAATGTCATTAAAATATTTTACAGTGTGGTTAATAAGGTACATTTTTAAGGTCAAATATAATGTTTTTGTTCTGTTTTAAATAAGGTTTGGGTTTCTTTAGGACCGAAATCAAGCATTAGACATCTTTGTGTCCCTATCATTGTCTAGAATAGTTCTGTGTAAGTCAAGTTGGTTGGTTGATTTGTTGGTTGCATGATTAATTGAAAATGATATTTATGAGATCATTTTCCCTCAATTTAGAGGAAATTTCTAGTTAATGATTATTGAATACTCTAACAATGTATATAACAAAACTATCAGAGTGAAAATGCCGTCACACTGTTATACTGTTGATGACTTCATAGACTGCACTGTGGGCAGGGCATGGGGGAAAGGAGGAAAAGGTATCAGATGATTAGTAACCACTGTTGCAAGAAGAATACTGTCACACTGAGGTCACCATGGCTAAGAGGATTAGTGATGCTAGCCTGCAACTGGCTTTAAAAAATGTAAATTGGAAGGACTGTTCTAAATTTTTAATATTCCCAAGAAATCATCTTCAAAATTTGAAACAAGTTTGCCCTAACCTAAAGTGTAAACTTGATGTCGCTGCTTAGTTTTGTTCCTCCTCTTAGGAGTTTCTTTAGGAAATTTGTTCCTACTTTTCTTTGAGCTTTTGATATAGCTTTAAATGGCAGCTTTCTTAGTCCCTCATAAAAGTTTTCAGAACCTTTTCTATCCTCCACCTAAAACACTTCTTCATAGTTGACTTCTTTTACTATATCAACACAGTGTATTTTCAAATACAGTTGAACTTGTTTTCATACTTAGTACCTGCAAAAGTTAACATACTGCCTTGAAATGCAGTTTAAGCCATAATTGCAGAGAAAATTCAATAATTAAACTTTTATTGAGCACCTGTTATGTGCCTATCAGTCTTCTACTAATCTTTCCATTTAATTGGGCCCATTTATGTAGTTCCAGGAAAAATCATCTGTTATCTATTTCATGGAGACAGAAGCAATTTCAGCTAATGGTTCTTTTTGGGTAGTTGATCTAATGAATAATGCCCAGGAATCATTTATAATAAGAAAACTTTTTCAATATTTAATAGGGCTATAAAAGATTACTTCTTTGGGGTAGCAACAGAGTTTGAAAAGTAACTTTTTTCTATTTTGTATTTAAAAAAAAAACTGATTACAAAAGTAATACATGTAAATGTAGCCAGGAGTGAGGAGTAGGCTTCAGGCAAAGAGAATAAATTTATAAAGCAACTGACTAACCAGCTGTGATAACTTCAAGGAACTATCCAATGTTCAGAGAGTTGAATGCTCCACATAATTTTATGAATAATCCTATCTAGTTTGAGGATATACTCTATCCATAATAAAAATAATGCAGGCTAGCAGTATAAAAAAAATCTTCAGTATGAAATAATATAAAAATAACAGAGCTGTCTATTCAAATAGAACTTGTCTCTAAGGAGCTCTAACATATTAAGTATGAAAACAAGGCCATGTTTTCCCTGCAGCAGAGAGAGGCAAGATAACAAGCAATGCCCTTTCTCTGGCCCTGCCTGTATTTTCAGGTCTATCTTATGTTTTACTACTTCCCCACTGATCCTCATTTTCAAGCACAAGTGAGCAAATTGCAGTTTCCCCGCTAAGTATGCCATTTCATTTTTGGCGTGCTTTCCCCACCCATTCTACCTGGCAGTTTTCTGTTCCTTCTTAAAGACTTAGCTGAAATGCCCTACGTCTCTGTAAAATCCTCTGTGATGTCTCAAACAATTAGTTCTTTATCTGCATTGTACATACCTTTGCACATAATAAAAACCTATACTGTCTTCTTAGATACCCTCTCCGTTGCTGAAGGACAATCTTACTTTGAGTTGTGCCCTCAGCATCTAGACAAGAACCAGGCATACAGTAGGTGCCCTAGTGACTGTTCCAGCCATGAAAACCATAGCGCCCCTGTGAAACTTGGGCTTCACCGTCCATTGACCTGTAAAACATAAGTGACTATTCATCAGCTTGTCTTAATGTTAACGAAACCTCTTGAAAACATTAAAATGTGTGGTTGTCACCTTCCTTCTCACCTGCCAAAGGTCCTGTCAGTGCCACCTGTCCATTCAATTGTCTTGTGCCTTTTCTACAGCCTCTCTACTACATCCATCTCTATTGAAGACATTTACTCTTGTTTTCTTGATTTTATAGCTTTCCAAACAAAACATACTTTCAAGATCTCTAAACCACTAGTTTTAGCTTTTTTCTTTGTCTCCATATTTAATTATATTTTTAAAAAATTCACAGAATGTGGTTGGTGTGCTACATTGCAAAGAAGTACTCAGAAAACGAAACAACTTAATCTTTTTAAGAAGTCTCATGTGTATCCAAGAGCCCAACCATTTTTCTTTTACCAGTAACATTCACTGTACTTTGTTACTTCAAATCAAGAAAGAAAAAATCAATATTTGTGCCTGATCTGGAGCACAATTTACTAGATTGAGCAGGCATCCAGGCTGCCCATGTGCACATTTTCCATCTTTCTTTCCTTCTTCCCTTCCTTCCTTCCTTCCTTTCTTTCCTTCTTCCCTTCCTTCCTTCTTTCCTTTCTTTCCCTCTTTCCTTCCTTTCCCTCTTTCCTTTCCTTCCTTCCTTCCCTCCCTTCCCTTCCTTCTTTTCTTTCTTTCTTTCTTTCTTTCTTTCTTTCTTTCTTTTCTTTCTTTCTTTCTTTCTTTCTTTCTTTCTTTCTTTCTTTCTTTCTTTCTTTCTTTCTTTCTTTCTTTCTTTCTTTCTTTCTTTCTTTCTTTCTTTCTTTCTTTCTTTCTTTCTTTCTTTCTTTCTTTCTTTTCTTTCTTTCTTTCTTCCTCTCTTCCTCTCTTCCTCTCTTTCTTTCTCTGTTTCATTTCTGCTTGTTTGATGCTTTGACCTGACCAAAAATGCTAGTGTTCTCGTGTTCAAATCTGGCTCTTCCTTAGTTTAAAAATTGGTTCCTTTACCCTTGTACTTTCCTTTTGGGCCATGCAAACAACAATTGAAGTTGTCTAAATAATCAGGTTCCTCCTAACTTGGATTAAACAAGGAAAAGACTCCTTTATAGGAGAATTACATGACAGGACAAATAAGATCATTTGTATTAAAACATTTGATTCTTGGGTCTTGTTTTTCCATGATGACACCTAAAGAACCATCCTTTTTAGTCAAGTTAAACATATATTATTATACTTTTATACTTGTAAATGGTGTCTTAGGCACAAGAATATTGGATATAAATAGAAAGTAGGATTTGGTTTTTAAATGAATATCACATCTCAAAATACTGCTTTCTTACCTTGTTCAGTGTGTGTAAGATCCAATTCATGTTTCCAGGAGCTTCATAATATTTCTAAACTAGAACAGGAGGTGGGGATGGTTTGTTAGGTGCAGTTTTCCCATAAAGCATCTGGGCATCATTCTACTGTATTTTTAGCCCAATCTGTGAATATTATGGTCAGCTTAAGAGTTTCATCTCTATTTAAACACAACCCTGAAAAGTACTTCTTTGCCTTCAACCTTTATTTAAGCACAAATTCTTTTTTTTTTTTTCAGGACATCGTTGAACCTTTGTTTTCACTGTTTCTATATGTAGCCCACATGCTGAATATAATAATGGGCCAATGGGTTTTTTATTCAGTTTTTTTCATAACTACAGATGAATAAAAATTATTATACTCTTTTTCCTCCCTGAGCCCTAAGTTCTGGACAGTACTCTGTGTTGTTGCATCCAGAATTACTATCTATACTCCTCTTGCACCTCTGACAGTCCTTCTCCCTGAATTACATCCTGTGCAAAGATCTTAAATGAGGGTGTGTTTGCTAGTTAACTCACTTATGGTGTATCTGAAAAGATCTGTATTATCTCCTCTTCTTAAATTGTGTTTTTTTCCTCTGTACAGTATCCTTCAATGTAATTTTGTCTATTATGCCTTTTTTTTTTTTTTGGCTTCTGTTGCTGTTGTTGGGAAGTCTGTTAACAGCCTGTTTTGTTCCTTTATAAGTGACTGTTTTTCTCTCTGATTCTTTGGAGAACTTTTTTGGTATGCTTAATGGCACTGTGAACCTGCCTCCTTGGTGCCTTGATTTCAGACTTTAGCATCCAGAACTGTGGGGGAATAAATTCTGTTGTTTTAAGTTGTCAAGTTTGTGCCATTTGGTTATAGTAGACCTAGGAAAGTAATACACCCCACCTGGCAATGAACCTTGACTCGTTGAGGTGCTGGCTGAGAGCAAAGGGGTATGGGACGTCCCCTTGATGGCAGTGAAAAAGGCAGTTAAATACCAGCTGTAATCATGTGACTGCTGCAGAGATGGGGATTGTAATAATTACAGGTATCTCCTCCTTATTTTGTTATAAATATGTGTATATGTTAAGCAAATTTTTTTATTATTTTATTCCCTTATCAGTTTACATAAGATGTATTAATAATAGTTAACTTTGTATCATGGTCTTTAAGTTGCAGGGTATCAAAGGAGAAGGGTAAAAACCACCTAAGAACTTTGTTCCTCTTCTGAGTTAACATGTTTTTAGTTGTATGCAGGATAATTGTATCACATTAGCAGAAGTGAAGCACAAATTCTTTATATGCAAAGATGCAGGCGTGGCAAGAAAAACAGATCTTCAACATTTGCTTTTGAAACAGACCTATGAAAGTTAGTTAATTGTAGATATCTAGTAGAAATATGGTACAGATAGTCCATTAAATAAATTTTATTTTCATATCTCCTTGTTCTTAACAAAAGATAATTCCTTTTGACTTTTGTTTTTTAATGAAAATGTTTCGGTTAAGAATTGCTAAGAAATCCACGGACAGAACAAAGACAATAATGCTGGTGCCCATTTCTTGCCTCTTGGTGGCTCCATTTAGTAGCAGCATCTGTGACACTAGCTCTCCCAAGCGCCTGAAAGTGCTTTTTCCATTTTTGCCTTCTGAACCCTGCCCCCTCCTCCTCTTTCTTGTTCTTCTTCCTCCAAATCAAAACTGCATTGCCAGTAAAAAATAATAATACTGAGGTGGATTTATGACTGGAGGGATAGAGGTATGGATAGATGGAAGTATGATAAGCCAAGTCTAGTAAGTTGTTAATGGTAGAATCTTGGTGGAGGATATAGAGTCATGTACTGAATCTTAATTCTTTCAGCTTTGCCATGTGTTTGAAAATTGTCATAATAAAATCTCTTAGTAGTGGTTATCCACAGAGGATGGGATGACAGAAGCTTTCACCAAATCTGTGTTTAAATTTTTTGCAATTATATAATTAAAGAAAAATGAAAATTATTCTTTTTAAAGCTACATGAAACTGTCTTCACCAATGACATCACCAAACTATTGATTGAATTACTTTTCATGTTTGAAATTTACATTAGGCCATGCTAAATAATTAAGAATATTTACAATGATTCAGCTGTCTGAAGATGACCATATTATTACAGTAAGAAATTGGTTAAATAGGCTGGATATAGATAGTTAATAAAATACTGTGCAGCCATTAAAACTTAGAGAAACAAATACATTGACATGGAAAAATTTATAATATGTTTCCTATGCTGTCTAGAAAATTATGCACTTACATGTATGACTGGAAGTACATAGATACAAAAATATTACCTCTGAATTATGAGATGATGAAGTTTTTCTCTCATAAGGATCTTTTTAAATCCATATTTTCTATTTTTTCCTTAGAGTTTCCGAATGTTTTTATTTTAGTAGCATAAGAAAGAAGAAAAACAGAAAAGACAAAAGCCATGCTATTTTCCGGTGACAGTGGAGCAGGGAAACTTTGGTATCTGTAAATAACTTTTGATCAAGCCAAAAAGCTGATATGTGTTTTTCCTTTTATCTGTATCACTGAAAGCTACTCTCTTACATTTTCTTAATCTTGTTCTTAGAAACAGTGCATTTGAAATATGTAAAAAACAAATAATTTTATTCATTCTTCCAAAACTATTGTAGTGGACTTGACTGGTAGCTTTTGAAAAGAAAGTTAAGATGTTTTCATGCTGCTAGGCCCAAGGCATTTTGTACTTGGAAGTCTCCTGTCTTTAATCTCTAATTGCATTAAATTTCTGAGTCTGACTCATGAGGAAAGGAAGCTTCAAAGCAGAAATAAGAAAATCTAATTTATTTCTAAGTATAATAAACATGGATATATTTCAGACAGTATGATACCTATGTTCCAAGTGTCCTAACCAGAAAAATTAAGAGTTCAAGGAAGTGCCAGTTAAATAATAAAAATGGTTTTCTTATCATGGATCCCTATTCTCCAAGGAGATTTAAGCAATGGGCTGAAATTAGGTAATCTTTACACTGTGTCTCTGAGAGGGTTAGAAGGAAGGGACTATTACTATTAATTTTTATCCACCAGTAACATTTATTAACACTTACTTTGTTTATGACCCTGAAGTTAACGTTTCACTTATTGTTTCCTCTCTTTCAAAGACAATTTTTTCATAGATTTTTCTGTCAATGGCTGTGGAAAGAAAAGTTGGCCAGGAATTAAAGTAAAAATAAATAAAAACAAAGTTCGTCTCTGGGTTCCGGCTCTCTGGTCTCCTCACAGTGGATTATATGGAATGTGTGATTCACTTACATATGT